AGCCGTGGCGCACCTCGCGCGACGCGCTGGACGGCACGTAGTCCAGCCGCTGGTGTCCGTCCGGGCCGAGCTCGGGGAAGCGTGGCCCGCCCCCCAGCGCGAGGTCGTCGTGGTCGCCGAAGCCGGGGCGGCCGGCGCGCAGCTTCTCGAACAGGCCCTGAGGGCGCGCCGGCGCCAGCTGCGGGTCCCACTGGTAATGCTGCTGGTAGAGCTGGTCGCGGTGGAAGTGACTGGTCTGGAAGCGGAAGTCGTCACCGTGGCTGAGGAACGTCTGCCGCGACACCTGCCGCGCGGCCGCGAAGTTCTCCACCGCGCCCCCGCCGTCGGCGGCCGCGTAGCTGTGCCGCTTGAAGGCGTCCATCTCCAGATGCCGGGCCTGGAAGAAGCCCCGCGGGCCCGCGAGCTCCCCGCCCGGTCCCGCCTCGGCGTCCAGCCGCCGCGACAGCGGCCGCAGCCCCGCGTGCGGCTCCAGGGCTCCCGCGGGCATCCGCGTGGGCTCCTCCCGGCGGAAGGCCGACAAGAAGTGGCGGTCGGGGTCGAGGAAGGAGGGGAAGCCCAGGCCCTCTTCCCGGGGCGGTGGGAACAGGAGGTGCGCTCGCTTAGAGAAGGAGAAAGGGGTCGGCGCCCCGGTCACCTGGCCGCCCATAAGGGGCCCAGCCCCCGCGTACGGAGCCAGGGCGTAAGCGTCCATGCGGGCCAGCGCCCCGGCCGAGGGCACCAGCGGCTCGGACTGCGCGAAAAGGATGCGGAACTCCTCATCGAAGCTGGAGACCAGCTCGCCTTGGAACACGTGCGCCAGGCTTCGGTGGATCTTCTCGAAGGACCACATAAAGCTGCGGGCGGGGCGGGGCGGGTCAGGGGCGGGGCCAAGCAGCCGCGAGGGCCGCAGCGCCCCCACCTGCGGCCCGCCCCGGAAGCCTGAAGCCTACCAGAACCCCGGGGCGGAGGCGCGTCAGGGGCTGTGGGACCCGGGCTTCTGCAGGGGAGGCCCTTAGGTGGGGAGGTGCTGGGGCCGCGGGGCCGGGCGCACCTGTAGCTCCCACTCATGACCACGGCGCAGTCCACCAGCAGGAACTTCTCCTTCACGTGGCCCTTGAAGGACTTCCCAGTGCGGCAGTAGTAGGTGGGGCCCGCCACAGTGCGCACACGCAAGAACTGGGGAGCGAGAGGCGTCAGGTCTGTGCGCGGGAGTCTCCCACCTCCCTCCCCGCCCCCTCTCTGTCACTCACATCCACGTGGTGCAGGTTGACACGGCACTTGTCGGCCATGTCTAGGAAGTGCTGCGCGTTCATCTCATCCAGGAGGATGTAGACCGGGACGCGGCGTGCCGCTGCCTCCAGCACCTCCCCAAGCAGGTCCACGTCGGTGAACATGTCCATCACCACGGCCACCACCTGCAGGGGTCGAGTTAGGGACAGAGGACAGACCCCTCTGCTGTCCCCACCATTCTCTGGCCATACCTGCATGGCCCGCACGGGGGCCTCTGGATCTCCCACAAACACTGCAAATTGTCCTCTAGCCCGTCCCAGAGGAGAGCAGGGACCCTGTCGGGGAACAGGGCTCAGGAGGAAAAGGCCTATCATGGGGGGCTGGGGGGCTGCTGGGTGGCCCATCATGGCCGGACAGGGCCTTCTAGGCAGGCACAGAGGGTCCACCTCCTTCTGGGAAGGGGCAAAGGCAAACGAAAGCCCTGCGACAGCCCCCGCCACCCCACCCCATAGATGGCGGAGCCCAGGCTCTAGTGCTGCCCGGGGTGCAGAGGGCAGTTGGGGTCTTTAGCTGCAGGACCTGTGGCCCCCACCTCCAAGATTTACCAGGCTTCCTTTGCTGTTTGCCACCTGTTTGGTGGGGGTAAGAAGCCCTCAGCTGGGTCAAAGTTAAAACTAGAGAGACTTTTCTGAACCATAAATCCAACCAGGAGACGTGCGCAGCCATCCCAGAGCCCCTGAGTTTCTGGACACTGGCCAGGACCACCGGCAAGCAAGCCTGTGCAGCATGCAGCCTGCAATAATCAGACCCTTGGTGACCCCAAAAGTTGTCAGCCAGGGAGCCCTCGCTGGTGCTTGAAGGCTGGAAAGGCGCGGCCAGCTACCCTGGCCTCACCCTTGCGCCCGAAGCTGGGCATGCTCATATTTCTTCCACCTGCACACTCCTACTCATGCTTCAGGGTCCAGCTCGGGCTGCCCTTCCCCCACGGTCCACCCAGCCCACGACAGTGCACCTGCTGGGCTGAGCGGATCATCCTTCGAGCCTCATCCTTGATGCTGGGGCTGTCAGGCGGTGGTGGCTGCACCAGGGTGGTAACCTCAGTGCCCTGGAAGCCGAAGGTCAGGGGCCAGCCTAGGTCGAGTTCGGGCACTGCCTGGTCTGAGTTCATGGGCCAGTAGGTGCCTGAGGAGCCATCCATGTCCACATTGGGAGGACTGCCTTCAGGGGGCTCTCGAGCAACATGCTGTGGGGGCCGCAGGTGACGGCTCACATGCTCCAGCTCCTCAGGGCACAGGAAGGCAGGTGCCCCCTCGGACGCCAGGAAGCGGCTGTAGGCCTCTGGCCCGCCCTCAGCCAGGGCGTCCACCGCCAGGCGGTAGTACTCTTTGTAGTGAGGCGGCAGGTACCCAGGTGCCAGCGGGTTGTCCCCCTGCGAGGAGCTCTGGGAGCGACGGGCCATGTCGGGGCCAGCGGCCTGGGAGGGGCGGGGAGACACGTTACTGGGGCAGGGGCTCCGTGCCCGCCCGCCCCCCCCCCCCCCAGCAGACACACCCTTTGTAGAAAAGGGCTGGTGGAGTGCAGGCCATACCTGCAGGCCTTCCAGACACGCCTGGACCCAGACTGCCCCCCAGCTGGGGCAGGCCAGCGGAGCGCCCAGGCACAGGCCCGCCCCCGGCCCTGTCTCATGTTGTTCCGTGCTGGCTGGGCCCTTGCTCCGGCCAGGACCTCAGGAGTGCTTGCAGCCTGGTTTCCCCGCAGGGGTTCCGGCTGCACGCAGACCCCGCTCGGGGTTATTTTCGGAACTCTGTGACCCAGGCACCTCTTTGTGGGCCCTTCCTCCATAGGAGAAAATCAGTATTTTATGATTGTTGTTACAAGGAAAACACGATCCAGACTGGATTCTTTATTATAGTCACTTTTTCCTTCTGCCTTTGGCATTAATGTATTTTCGTGGGCCTCTGGCATTGTGTGTACCGACCAGTCGGGTGGCCCCCCCGCCTGTGTCTGTCCGCAGTGCAGGGGGCTGAGAGGGGACCCAGGGCCACTCACTGCCTCTCTGGCTCATTATCTCCACTGGAAAATGCAGCTGTCAGGGTCGACCTGATACCACACCTGGCCCAACATGAGCTCAGCACACAAACTCGTCACTACTTTTGTCCCAGGACTCGGCGTGAAGCTCAAGAACTTCCTATGGGGGACCCCATCCTATGGGTCACCGTGAGCCCCACAGCCCATTCACAGACTTCACAGCCCTTCCAACTCTGACCCCTGCCCACCGGGACCACTTGCTTCCCTCTGGCCCACCCCTCCACTGTTTTTAGCCACTATTTATTTCCAGATAAAATCTCCCGAGCGCCACCCCCCACCCCCACCCCCAGCAGATGTGGGCAGCGGTGGTCTTCCCAAGTCCCCGGTCATGCTCTGCTTCTCACTGTGTTCCAGATGAAATCAGAGCCCTTTGCTGTGGCCGTCAGGCTCATCCTGGGCTCCAAATGTGCCTCCCTGTCCTCACCACTTGCCCCAACCTCACACTGACACCCAAGCCAGGCGTGGCCCGCTCCAGTCCACCTGTTCCCCGAGGGCCCGAGGGGACCTAGGCTGGGAGGAGCTACCATTAGCTCCGGAAGGCCACGTGGGGGCCGCTTTTGGATCCACAATCACCAGAACTGCCCGGATACCCTGGAAGGAGAGCCCCACGCACTGCCCACCCCACCGAGGCTGCAACTTGGGGCTGGGACTGAGCTGGATTTCAGATCCCGCCCGGCTCATGGGTTCCTGGACGCCGGTCCTGCAAGACTCCCCAGTGTGCCCTGCTCAGCAGGAGCGGCGGGTGACGCCGACTGGATGGGGTCACTGGGCAGCCAGGGAACATTGGGACCAAGACTGTTGTGTGTGGTGACCTGAGGAAACTTTCCTGTCCCCCTTCGGTGACAGGCTGAGCATGATGTGAAGGTTAGGTAGGGGGGCCTGTCCACCTCCTGGGGTGGGGGACAAGCTAACCCAAAGGTGGGAGGGGGGTAGTTCTGTGTGCCATCCCATCCACATCCAGCAGATGCTACCTGGTGTATTAAGGAAAAGTTCTTCGGACGCTCCCTCATGGGGGCACCACCCTCTGGTGTGGTTACATACAGGATCTCCATGCTGTCTTCATAGCAGGACCACGTTAAGGAACAAGGTGCAGGCCTGTCTGTAGTGGGGCCTCCCACTGTGCCTGACCCCGGGGCTGGGGGCAGGGGGGGGTGGTGCGTGTCTCACACAGTATCTGACAGAGGGTGGTTCTGGTCAGACACTGTGGACTTGGCTGTATGGGGTCAGTGTTGGGCCAAGCAGGGCTTTGGGGGCACTTTCCTGCTCACTACATTTGAGAGGGAGCACTTCCCAAGGTGGGGAACCACAGAAGGGACGCAGCCCCCTGCACTTTACTCAGAAGGGGATTCAACACAACCTGTCCAGGCTGCCTGCAATGGGGGTGGGGGGGGGGGGGGGTGGAAATCCCATGATGAACAAGGAGCCAGCTCATCCGCCAGGGCCCACCAGGAAGGGGGTGCCCATCCTGAGTGACCACACCGGTGACCCTGCATGGCCTCACGCCGTAATACGTCCATAATCCAATGACCTTAGTCCTTTCACTTTGCACACCCCTGAACTGTGGACCGGGCAGAGGCCGCTCTCCAGCCCCCTCTGGGGAACCCGTCGTCCTCCGCAGGCCTGCCCTAAGGGAGGGAGGGGCACCATCCCACCCAAGCCCATGACTCAGCAGGGATCTGCACCTCCGCTGCTGACCTCTGACCTCTGACACAAGGCCCACAAATCCTCCAGGGCCCTGAGGGCTCTAGGAGCTTTCAGAGCGTGGGTCCTTCCCACCTGGGCAGGAGGTGGGTTTTCTAAGCGACGGGAAGGAGGGAAGGCTCTGGGGCTAATGCACAGGAGGTGACCCCGGGCTCCGTGCGGACGTGTGCGGGAGGCTCACCGCAGGAAGCATGTGGAAGCGTTAGGCATATGGAGGCGGGGGCGCGGGAGGGGGACGGGGGTCGGCCCGATGGGACTCACAGACTGGAAGTTGGCGAGTCGTAGTTTTCGGGGTGTGCCCCGCAGGACCGAAAGGGATTACTGCACCCAAGGAGTCAGCGACCGCCCAGGCCT